GTAAATAACAATTGATGGAACTGAGGGAAGCTTCATGTAGAATTACAGCCATTCAACCCAGGTATTTTTCTCCTCCTCGTTCACTACTGGACTAACCATAACCAGTAAGATGGGTGGTTATGCTGGTAAATACTGATAGGAGCAGCAGGAGGATCTTTGGAGGAGTTCCCTGCACTAAGGTTGCCCAGGTAATAGTGTTTAACATCAGGCTTTTACAACTGGGATTGTTATTGTGGAGAGAATATCCTTCCTACTTGGGAAATGTGGAGAAAACTAAGCCCTTTTTCCAGCCCAGAAGCCACCAAAGGGGTGAACCTGAAAGGCAGGGAGCTTCCAGGTCTCCTCAGACCCTGGAAGAAGGCTTAGCCTGCAAGGAGAAGACAACTTTCTCTGCAATTTTACAAGCCCAAAGCATTAATTCTCATTCTGGAAGAAGAGGGAAAGTTTGGGCATTTCATGTGTTTGGCTGTGCTGCAGTAAGATGCTATTTTAAAAGCTGATTTCTTTTTCAAACTACTCCTGCTTTGCTTGGTCCTTAGGTGCCACTCCTGTTTCCTCACTTTCCTGTCCTTCCAGGAGGCCTCCTCAATCACATCTTTGTCTTGGGACCCAAAGCACACTCTGATTTCACACATCATGCCCAGAGTGGCTTTTGGGCTTTCCCCTTTACCTTTCCCAGGGGATGCTGCAGGAGGTTTGTAGCTCTGAGAGAAGAAAAAAGAAGGTTGGCTGCCCAGGGAGAAGAGCGTGTGGAAGGCAGCGGGGCCAGAGGAGAGGACCTGGGTGCTAGTGGCACCCAAGGAAATGGGAATCAACAACCTAAAGCCCCATCTGATGATGCAGGATTGCATTAGCAGGGCTGTGGAGTGCAGGATGCAGGAAGGAACCGTTTTATTTGGCTGAGGGATGGTGAAACTCAGCAAGAAAAATGCGTCCGGTTTCGGCCGCTCGGCTGTATGAAAGAAGCTGGAGGAGAAGAAGAGGAATGAGCAGAGATTTAGGAAATCTATGAGGAATGATTGAGGGAACTGGTTTCCTTTAGTCCAGCAGAGAGATGGGGAACATAAATCTTTTGATAGGCAACAAGATTGTTGTAAGGAGGTGGTGATCTATGAGGCTGGATGTCTCGGGGCGAGCGCTGCCGTTTCTTGCAAGATATTTCTGTTTGGTTTAAATGCAAAGGGAAAAAACACAGTTTCTAGTCTGGCTCATCATGTGGTTTGGTGGGTAGCTGCAGAACACCTTTCCTCAGAAGGTTTTATGGCAAATTTAGAGGAAAAAAAACCCCAAGTGCCTGAACTGTTAAGCTGGTCTTACCATGCTTCCATGAGTGGGCTTGAATTAAACAGTCTCGGGATCTTCTTCCAGCATGATGCTTTTTTCCTTACAAAATTTAACATAGTAGTTGCTATTTTAACAAGAGAGCAGAAATGTAGAAGGCTCATGAATGATTTGGAGTGCCTGGCTTAGACTTGAAAAAACTAGGGGGGAAAAAAAAAAAATAGGTTTTCAAGGGAAGATAAAACACGTGGAATATTTCAGAAATTTCTCTCATTTTCTAATTTTGCCTTAGGAACAGAAATATTCCTGACAAGAAATATCTATACCCAAATCCTGTCTTCCCAATTCCTTCTAAAATGGGGAGAGAGACAGCTTCTGCTGCAGCCTCACTTTGGCTGTAATTCATCAGACTAATAAGAACACCTTTTTTTCTCCTCTCCCTTCCTGCTAAATCTTGTTTTTTCAAGAAAAGATAGGAAGAAGGAAGACTGAATTTCATGAATACTCTTTTTTTTGTTTTCTTTTGTAAGCATATAAAAGGAGGGAATTAGATTCTTGGCAGGTGAAATGTTATTTTCTGTGTACATTTGGATGTGTCATCCTGTGGTAGGTAGTGACACAATAGCCTGCACAGTGCACACTCAAATATTCCTCTAGCTCTGCTGTGAATAGGACAGATCTTTATTCCTTCCTAGTATGTCACTGTGTAGTACCTATCAATTATTTATTTTGAACAGGAACATTTCCCTGGCATCTTTTGTAACTCTGTGTTTTCAGCAGAACAGGAGTGAGCTGGTATAAATGCACTTCATGGTGGCACATGTAAAAAGTACTTTAATCTTCATGCATTTGGCACAGGGGAGATGAGAATTCAATAGCTCCTCTGTCACTTTCTAGCCCACTAGTGGGTGGTTAAAATGGTTTAAAGGAACAACTGGGTTGAGCTAAACATGTGCTACACAAGCCCATCAATAGAGGTCTTGGAAGAGCTGGAGATGTAGCACCACAAAACCATCACCCTCTTTGCAGGACAGTCTCCATCACCTCACTGAAATCCTGAAAAGCCCTGGAGGTCTTGAGAGGGATGCTCCAGTTTCAGATGTGGAGGTTTTTGGGTTGATTCTGAAGTTGGGAGGAGTGAGCGTGGTCATGCTACACCAATGGAAGATACTCATCCATGATGAGTGTCTTTATTTTACTAACCTACTTCCCAAAACTGATTTTATTTGAATTGTACCATATTTGATGGCGTAGAAATCCAAAGCCATATTTTTTAACAGAAATGGTAAACTTCTTAAGTGAAAACTTGCTCATTATGATTTCATAGCTGTACTCTCCATTGAGGGTTTGCCTCAGTGCTGATCCATTCTGGTTTTTAAAGGTGTTCAACTTACTTCCATTAATGTCAGCTCTATGATGACTGTGGTTCTTTAATTCTTTTTAGAAATTAAAATAATGGCAAGAAGAAACAGCTTTTTGGGAAGACTTTTGCTTACTAGAAAAAACTACTTGGAGATTTTGTGTCGTGTGGTAGGATTCAGAGATGTGTGATTAAAACATTGATATCCTAAGTTATGTTTTCTGAAATTATTTGTTCTAGAGTAAATAGACCAGGAAGGACTAATTGCAGGCTACCTAAATAATTTGAAGGGTGACTTCTGGAAGTATTCTCCAGTTGTGGGAGCATTTTTTACAAAGCCACAGTGCTGACAGTGATTGAATCCAATAAACATTTCCACAATCTTTAAGAATGTGGCTGGATTTAATTATCCTGGAGCACCTATTTGAAAGCAGGAGTGAAAAACATTGGCTTAGCAGTTTTGTAGAGCCAACTGCCTTCAGGGTGATCCTGCAGTGGGGTTCCTTTTGCAGGATGAGAACTGATTTGTCATATTAATAGCCTGCACCCGCCTGTGGAAGCCTAAAAATGGTGTTGCAGTACTCAGTGAGGCACAAAGGATGCTGCAGGAGCACTGAGCAATCCCACTTGCAATCCTGGCAGAAAATGACCATTTTTCCCCCTCTTCCCACAAAAAAAGATAGCATCCTGGTATTTATAAGGGCATATAAAGCATCGTTAGGCTGCGTGTAATTATTTTAAACACTTCTGGTTTCTACTTTAATTTTCCTTTCATGCTCTGTGTGATATTTCTCTAGGAGATGTGCTTAAGTCAATACAAAGCAAAGCTGTAAATAGGAAGGAAGTTAACTTTTCTCTTGCATGCCTGTTTTTTTGTATAGATCACATCATAAACATCGTGTGATAATCAGGTTTTCATTCTGGGATGAGCTGAGGATTTTATCTTTTTATTGTTTAGCAGGCCTACTTAAAAACCAGCTGATAGATACATTGTACTGCTTGATTTTATGCCTGACATAACATCTTGAACTCATATTCATGAATTAATTTGCCCAAGTTTTATAGTTTTTCATCTCTGTCGCAGTGCTAGGTAAAGTTCCTCAATAAAAACTTTGATTTTCCCATCTGCTTGTTGTTTAAATACCTAAATCTTTATCTTTGTGACACTTTGGTTACTCCAATAAGTTTGGTTGTCTGTGTGACAGACTCAGTGAAGAGATGCAAGAAACAGCCCAAACTTCAGTGTGTAAGGGGATAACGTTGGGTAAGGCAGGGGGAAGGGATAGAAAATGGCTTAGATGAAGTTTTAAGGCAAATTCCTGAAAGAACCCAAAAAAGAAGCCAGGTCTCCTGTGAAAATATATATATATAAAAGAGAGAGAGAGAATAATAGGATATTTTTACCATGGAAAACATCTTGGCTAACATATTTTATACCTCTTATCCTGCAGCAGCTCTGTCCCCTTACAGAACCTGCATCTTTGCTCTCATGCAGCTGCAATGATCATCTCCTCTGTCTTCTGTCCCATTACACCAACCCCTTGAGGGTCCCTTTATTCTCCCAGATCAAATTCCAGCCCCTTGCTTGGCAAACCCTCTGTGGGGGTGCCCTCATCTGCTGCACTGCATCCCTTTCCTCTACCTGTGTTCCTCCCACGGAGCCCAGAGCCTTTTGAATCTCCAGGTTGTTAAATGCCAGCCTGTTTCCCTGGTTGCCATGTATTTCCCTTCTGCTAAATGTTGTGTGTTAAATACCTGCTGTCTCCTCAGCAGTGCTTCCTTTGGGCTTTGCAGAGCTGCAATAATACGGGTGTGATTTAAGCCTCTTTTGGTAAACCCTTTCAGAAGCATTCTGCTCTGCAGAAGGTCACATGAAATCAGAAATCAAGCACTTGGTGAAGTGATGGGAGAGAGTGGAGAACATTGGGAAATTTAACCTCTACTTTGCAGTTTGGATTGGGATTTTTTTTAGCAGGAGAATGACCTTGGTTTTATATCAAAAATAGTTGTCGGGGTGCTCAGTGTTACACAGCACGTATATAAAGATTTGAAAAAGCTCCAAGGTTTTTTTGGAAGCTCAAACTTTGAGCAAAAAAAAAAAGCTCAGAAAAATTGTTTGGTTTGCTCAAAAAAAAAGAAAAATTCCAGTGCTGCTTAGAAAACAAAAATAATGATATCTCTCTTCTGAGCTCTTTCCCAAATGAAGCAGCAGAGATGCTGGTGACAGGTCTCCAGGATGAATGGGATTGGGAAGGTCTGCCTTCCTAAATTCAAAATGCCTCCAAAACTAGAGAGAAGAACAAATGGGAATGATGCCAATGGGTCCTCTACTAATGCATTTTGGTTTTGGTTCCTTCAGGACAGCACAATTACCTGTGTGCAGGAAGGAATGACTGCATCATTGATAAGATTCGGAGGAAGAACTGCCCAGCCTGTCGGTTACAGAAATGTCTGCAAGCTGGAATGAATTTAGGAGGTAAGCAGAACATTCAAAGTTGGGTCTTTTCATTCGATTAGGTAAAAAACATTGGAAATGTGCAGCCTTTTTATAGCTCTGCCAGCTGCATAATCTCCAAAGTTTAAGGTAGAATTATCCTGAAGTGCTTAATAGCTAATAAACTCTATTGTCATTCTATATCAGCTTTTGGAGGGATGTATTTTATAGCTCAGAGAAGAGAAAAGTGGGTGTTTTATGATGACACTCATTTTAGTGGGATCTCATAGAGCTATAAGTGTTAAAGTTCCATGTATTGCATGCTTCTTTTTTGGTGATGAGCATTTTCTGGAATATTTAAAAACATTTTTACACCGTTATGAGAGCAGACTCACACCTGCTGAATCCTCTCCACAGTTTTGCTGCTTATTTAACATTTCTATTGATTTATTTCTATGCCTCTTTGGATGGGCAGTCGTTTTGATGATGTTAGTCCATCCTTCACATGCCAACAGCAGAAAGGAATCTTCATGCTTATGATAGAACAACATATTTATAGATATAATAAGATAATAAAGTATTTTGAGGACAGTAGGGTTTTTTCTGGGTTTTTTTTTAGTTCTTCAGTTGCAAAGTCTACACAGTTCTGGCTGTGCTTCAGTGGGCATCTTGTTTCAAGTCATCACCTGAACAAATTGTGTTACAAATCACTTTTTCCCCACCACTCTTAGGTTTATGTTGTTGCCTGTACATAGAGCTTTGGATCCTGCTGCAGGTCCCTTCCCCACTGCACAGAGTGACCATTCCCTTAAGAGTGTCTTCACTGTTCCAGAAAATTATAGCAGTCACATCAATTCCTCCAAATCATTATTTATGTTTTTTTTTAATCTCACAATTTGCTTTTTCCCCTCCTGGACCTGTTTTCCTAGTGGCTTAGTTTAGTTCTACAGGCAGATCTAGCTGCCTGTTATATGCAAAATTCTAATACCTGCTGCCTGGTACCTTTTTCTACCTCCTAAACTTTGCTTTCTGTCTTGTTCCCTGGCATAAATACTGAAGCAAGCTGCTTCTTACTTTTTTTTTGGGCAGATTAGCCCTGTTGAGACCTCTTCCAGCCTTTTCCCAAATGGGGAGCACCATGGTAGTAGCTCCTTCTTCCCAAAAAAAGGACATGTTCACACATTCATCTGGAAAAAAAGAAACCGAGGGAGAGGGTAAACTTTGCATGAGGGGGTTGGGTTGGGTTGTGGTTTTTATTTTTACATTGGCTGGAGTGTTGTAAATGAGAACTCCATGGTAGTAGCTCCTTCTTCCCAAAAAAAGGACATGTTCACACATTCATCTGGAAAAAAGAAAGCAAGGGAGAGGGTAAACTTTGCACGAGGGGGTTGGGTTGGGTTGTTTTGGTTTGTTTTATGTTGGCTGGAGTGCTGTAAATGAGGAATGCACAGAAAAAAAATCATCTCTTGCATTGGAGCTTGGTGGTCTGCTGGAAATTGTAATTAGTCATCTGCATTTAATGACCTAGAAGGCCAAGTCTGCCTCTGCAGTGTACAGCTGGGTTTGCAGCTCTGCAGTTTAGCTGTTGGGGTGATTTTCTTCAGGTAGAGACACCAAGGTTGAACTGTCCTTCCTGATTTGATCCCTTTATGCCACATAAAGAAGGGAAAATGGCATAAAAAGGTCCTTCCATTGCCAATCATTCCCCAAATTGGGAATTTCTAGGGGGTTTCTAACACAGTGGAGCTCAGAAAAGAAGGGGGTGGAAATGGCAAGAGGAGATATTAATGCCTATTTGAAAACAGTCATTTTCCTTCATATAAATTTCCCAGGCTTGGCATTAAATCACATTTTTTCATAATTAGCAATGAGCAGACTAAGTATGTTCATATTATTATGAAGAGATATCATATAGTTTTCTGTGGTCAGCCAGGTTTTTTGCCAAGAATTTATTTCCAATAAAAATGAGCTTTTACTTCTGTCTGATTTGGACTTGCAGGAGAAAAAAAAAATGTGCTCAGTAAGGAGCTGGAGGGAAATGAATTTATAAAGGCATTTGAGCTGAAGTCCTCTTTGCAGCATCGTGCCCTGTAGCTGAGTCACACTGCTCAGTGCAGTGCTCTGTGTGCAGGAGAGCTAATTTAAGCTCTCACCTTCCAAAGGGAACAGAAGTAGACACAGAACCAAACCAGATCAGGGATGCCTGGGTGGTTGGTTGATGGGAAACAGGGGCAGATGGCAGCAAAAGGGTCATAAGGGTGTAGCTCAGGGCTGGAATGTGTGCAAGCTGTTGAAGCCATGGGCATTTCTTTCCTACTTGTACATAATTATGATGTAAATAAAACCCCCCAAAAAAACAAACCAACTAAACGGGCTGGAATGTGTGCAAGCTGTTGAAGGCATGGGCATTTCTTTTCTACTTGTACATAATTATAATGTAAATAAAACCCCCCCAAAAAAACGAACCAACTAAACACACACAAAACCCAATACAAAATAAAACCCCACCCCACCCCCAAAGCCTCCAAGCCCTCCAGTTGAGCTCTGTCTCCCATGGGCTGGAGAAGACCTTGACTCTCCTTTGCAACTCTCCCCATCTGCAGGTGGGGGTAGGAGATTTTGGGTTGCCACCCAATTCCTCCCACTTACTGCAGCAGGGAGTTTATGAAGCAAATTCTGTCATTTGGAAGTTTGTGGTTGTCTTCTTCCTCTTCCTGAAGATATCAACCTCTAGAGTGGAAAGCTGGAAATCACCAAGACAGTTTCCATGTTCCTGCAGCACATTTTTGAACACTCTCCAATGGTTTTTCTTTGTGCCTTTTTTTTTGGGGGGGGCAGTTTTGTTGGCTTGGTTTGGTTTTTATTCTTATATTCTTTCTCAAAAAAAAAAATTCATGTGCTTTCTTTTGTTTCTTGTGTCAGTGTTGCAGATTTGTTTTATCTCCTGTTTCCCACCATGCTAACATCTTTTGTTTGCCTAAAAAAGAAGCCCTATTTTGATGTGTGGCAGCACGCCATGCCGTAAGCACCTTTAACAAAATATCTGTAATTCAGGGATACAAAATCCACCTTTTCATGAATGCTCAGCCAGATCAACTTGGCAGTTTTATTGTTTACCTCCTCCTTTTGTTTGTTGAAAAATCGGAGCGTTTTCCAAGCTCTTATCCTCTAATAATCTTTAGAAAATTATTCATCAAGTCAGCAAATAATTTACCTAATTACGTTCTTTTCTCCGTTTTTGTTTTGATTTTATAAGAAGCATCTGCAACCTGTAATTTCCACAAAGCTGAAGTTGCCAAATATCACATTAATTCACCCTCCTTGTTTCTATTTGCACTGCAGACAGACTTTTTTTTAGCAGGACTCCAAAACTTTTTGGGGAGTCGTTTGTTTGTTGGTTTGGGTTGGGGTTGGGGTGTTTTTTTAATTCAAACTCCAGTGCCATATGCTAGCCTTAATTATTGGAAGAGATTCAGAGTGAGCAACTGCACTACGAAGGTATGCTGGCCCATTTTTTGGTTTATGCTCTTTTCAAGATTCTGTAATTAATTTTCAGTTAATTATGGACCAGAATGGCTTCATGAGTTGGGAAGTTTCCTCCGGCATACGCTGCGATCAGATTTGTCAAGTCTCTCACTTCCTCACGAGACATTTCCATTTGCCACCCACCTCGTGCTGCTGTTCCCTACTCCTGCCTGTCCCCAAGGGTGGGGTTGGGGGGTTGTCATGGTGAGACCTCCCCCCCCCAGGTCCCACCCTGCTGCTCAGTGTGGTTTCTCCAGCATCCAGCTTGGCTTTGCATCCACTTCCATATGTCAGACGCTCCCTGCGCCAGATCCTGCGTGTGATTTGTAGTCCTCTCTCTCAGATAGCCTTATTTTTTATACATTAAAATAGTTCAATAATCTGAAAAACAGATTAAATGAGAGAATCAGTAATAAGATACAGTACTTCACCTTTTTTTTTTTTTGCCCAGCTTTCCAATTTCTGTTTAATAACTCAGGCTAGGAGGGATTTAAAGCTGCGCTATGATTTTCAGTTCCAGCAGATGTGGGTTTGTATTATTGTTCCTATCCTTTGGAGAAAAAGAAAGCAACAGGGAGAAAAGGAAGAGAGAAAAATCCCAAGAATATTAGAAAAAGGAAAAATAAGAAAAACTTTAACACAGGAAAAATGTATCCTCTTGGTATTCTTTAAAAATTTCTCCCAACTTTTTACGACGCAAGATTTCATCAATTGAAAAGGAGAAAAAAAAAACCCCAGTGTGCCAGAAACTGAAGCAGTTTTGTAGATGGCTATGGTGAACTTTTATTTTTCATTTAAATTTTTTAACTGCAACCTATTTTGGAACGCCCATTAAGTTTAACTACATTTTTATTTGCATTTATTAGGGAGCATTTTCTTCGGAGGAAATCTAGTCAATTTTTTTTGACTCAGACATTCAGCTGGGTTTGTGTCAGTTCTTCCAAGAGACTTTAGCCAATATATTTATTAAAGCTGTGAAGCAAAACCTCATGGTGTCATTTTTTCTTGCATTGTAGCTGGCCAGCTTAACTGTGGTGCCTACCAGTGTCTACGTTATCATGAGTATTGTTTCAAAGAACATTTGTGTTTTTCTAGATGTGGCAATTTCAGGAAACTTCTGTGTTAGGTAGAAATCCATCAAGGTTGTCTTAAAATCTCTGCTTTTCTCCTAGAGAAGTGATTTACCTACTTTTATTTGCATATGAAATTTATTGAGCCCAAGCAACCCTCAGATGTGTCACTCCTGCTGCTGAGTGCTGTGATTTTGTTAGCTCTCCCAAATCTCCTCCTCAGTGTGCTTGAGGTGCCAGCAGGGAGATTTATGTTGTGGCATGGAGCCTGTGTTGGTGACTCTTGAGAAGAGGACATCCTTCTGCCCCAGTCAAGGTCAGTTGTTCTGAAGGTGCTGTTGTTGCTGCAGCTCCACCTTGCACCTTCTGAATATGTAGTTTTATTTAAAAAAAAAAAAGGGCAGTTGTGCTGTCTCAGATCTTGTAGGAAACAATTGGTTCCATGCT